CAATATGACCCTCGGCGCGGTGGAGGCCCGGCTTCAAAATCTCGAGAAGCTATGGGATAAATTCGACGCTCTTAATGATACGTTAGCCGATCAGGTTGACGAAATAAAGCATGAGGTCTACGCTAAACAGGACATCCCGTCCTTAGGCGAGGAAGCTTACCTGCTGAACAAGGGCCTCATGCTCGATCTGAAGAGCGCTCTCCAGCTGCAGCTACAGGCAGCCAGCTCTACCGCGGCCGCGACAATTAGTCCCGCTCCTCGGACAGCGCTGCCAAAAATCCAACCGCCTACCTTCGCCGGGAAATACGAGGATTGGCCTTCATTCCGGGATCTGTTCCAATCCCTCATCGGCCGGAATCAGGCAGCAAAACCTGTGGAGAAGTTACACTACTTAAAACTTTGTGTGAAGGGTGACGCCGATCTGCTGATTCGTAACCTCAGCACCACAGAAGACAACTATGAAATCGCCTGGAAAACTCTAAGCGATTATTACGAGAACAAAAGATTGCTGACTCGTAATTATCTGAATAATTTCTTAGCGTTGACCAAGATGAAAAGCAAATCCGCCGCTGAATTGAGGAGGCTTTTCCATGGAGTAAAAACAACTGTCAGCTCCCTGAAGAGCATAGACCGACCGATAGACCGCACGGAGGATCTCTTCGTCCACCTCGTCGTAGAGCTCCTCGACAGCCGCTCTAGGCGAGAATGGGAGAGTGATATAAGTCACACCACGAGTCCGCCAAGCTACGCCTCGCTTGAGGCCTTCATAGAACGTCGGCTCCATACGTTGGAGGCGCTGTTTTCGGCCAGGAACGACAGCAGCAGCTCCAGCACTACGAAATCAACGAGGAGCCACCACGTCAAAGGCCAAATCCAAAAGAGAAGTCCAGAAGCCGGTGCTCCATCTGCCAGGGGGACCACTTTGTTATGTTCTGCGGCGACTATAAGGATAAGACGGCGATGGCGCGTAAGCAGCTCGTCCGTGAGCATAAGCTCTGCTCAAACTGCCTTGGCCGGCATCAATCTTCCGAGTGCTCTTCGAAGAAGACGTGTACAGCGTGTGGCAGTCGACATCACTCCTCGCTTCACGATGCATTCCGGGAAGCCGAGGCCGCCACGACGTCTCACGTGGCTCAAGGCGCAGACTCTTCCTCCGCAACGGTGCTGCTCGCTACGGCTAGGGTCCGCGTCCTCGACTGCCACGGAAGCTGGCAGTCCGCTCGCGCTCTGATCGACCAGGGCTCCGAATCCTCCATCATTTCGGAGCGATTAGCGCAGCGCTTACGACTCCCTAGAAAAGCAGCCGCCGTTAGTGTCTATGGAGTCGGAGAGAAAAGGACCGGAGTGACAAAGGGGAAGGTGAGACTCACCCTGCAGTCGCGCAGAGGGGAATCGCCCACCTTCGTCAACGCTTTGGTGCTGCCGAAGTTGACGCTGTTTTCCGGAGGATGCCGCAGCAGTAGACGAACCTGGACCCATCTGGAGGACCTGGAGCTCGCCGATCCGGAATTCTGCTCCTCGGACCCCGTCGACATCCTACTGGGAGCCGACGTATATGGGACCATCATCCGTCAGGGTCTACGAAAAGGAGGTTCTAAGGATCCAGTAGCTCAACAAACCTCGTTGGGCTGGATTCTCTCAGGTACAGTTAGCTCGACGGCGCCCAGCCAACACATCTCCGCTCATCACTGCCAAATCGAGGAGGACATCACCTGCTTGGTGCGGCGGTTCTGGGAGCAGGAGGAAGTCCACCGGCCATCTCCGACCCTCACCAAGGCGGAACTAGAGTGCGAGGAGCACTACCGCCGTCATCACTCGCGCTCTCCTGACGGCAGGTACATAGTGCGGCTGCCAACGATCGAGCCTCTCCCGGATCTGTCTGGGACTCGTCGCGTCGCCAGTCGTGCTCTGCAACAGACGGAGAAAAGGTTAGAGAAAGATGCCGACTTTAAGGACATGTACGTAGAGTTCATGCAAAAGTACAAGGAACTGCGACATATGATGCTTGCACCAGCGCCAGCTGAGCCACAACGAGGTACCTGTTACCTGCCGCATCACGGGGTCCTGCGTCCGGACAGCACTTCCACTAAGCTGAGGGTCGTGTTCAACGGCTCGAGCTCCTTGCCGAACGGGGACTCTCTTAACCAATTTCTTCTGACTGGACCGAATCTGCTTCCTGCGCTGGCTGACATCCTGCTGCGTTGGCGACGCCACAGATACGTCTTCGCTGCCGATATCGAAAAGATGTATCGGCAGATCCTAGTGCATCCGGACGATCGAAGCCTGCAGCGAATCCTGTAGAGAGACGACTCTAAGAACGACGTCCAGGAGTTCTGGCTATGCACGGTCACTTACGGGCTCTCATGCGCCCCGTATCTGGCCATCCGTACCTTACGCCAACTCGCCGAGGACGAAGAGCATCGCTTTCCGAAAGGCGCCGACATCCTGCGGAGCGATGTCTACATGGATGACATCCTGTCCGGTGCCAAGAATCAAGAGGAAGCAGAATCTATGGTGAGGCAGCTGACAAATATATGCACGGCGGGCGGGTTCACACTAAAAAAGTGGTCTACAAACGCCTCCTACCTGCTGAGCCTCGTGGAACCGGACGCGCGCCTGCAACAAGAGGCCAGATGGTGGCTGCCCGGCGAGAGTCATTCCACTCTCGGCCTTCGATGGCAACCGTGCGACGACCGCTTCGCCTTCGCCACCCACCGGATCACTCTCTCAGCGGTCACCAAAAGGTCGGTCCTTTCTTTGACGGCCAAATTATTCGATCCACTCGGCTGGCTGTCTCCAACGACTGTGCTGGCCAAAATCAACATCCAGGCTACCTGGCTACTAGGTCTCGACTGGGACGCGTCTCTGCCAAGCGAGGAAGCCAGAAAATGGCTGCGATTCCAGGAGGAGCTAGCGGCATTGGAGAAACTAGTCGTGCCTCGTTGGTTAGGAGCCCTAGCTGACTCCCATCAAGAGGTTCACGGATTTGCCGATGCCTCCGAACGTGCCTACGCCGCAGTCATCTACCTGCGAACAAACACAAACGGAGTTAGGAGAGTGACTTTATTAGCTGCGAAACCAAGCTTGATTGGTCGCCCACGTCGTGCTTCTTATTGGCGCAGAAAAGGCGCCTCTCCATCTGTGGTCGGATTCCACCGTGACTCTCGGCTGGATCCGGGGCCACCCTTCGTCCTGGGTCACTTACGTCGCTAATCGGGTGAGTGAGATCCAGACGCTGACTCCGGACGCCCACTGGCACCACGTCCCCGGCCGAGAGAATCCCGCGGACTGCGCGTCACGAGGACTCTACCCCAGCGAGCTTGTGGACCATTCACTATGGTGGCAAGGTCCGTCGTGGCTGTCCTCCGAGAGCCAACCGTGGACGATCAACTGCGAGGAGCCACCAGAGGATGACCTCCCAGAGAGGCGCGTCCGCGCCCACGTCGCCGCCATCGCCGAACAAAGGATTGAGCCGGAGATGCTTCTTCGATACTCGTCGCTACAACGCCTGCTCCGGATCACTGCGTGGTGCCGTCGCTGGCTGCGGATCCATCGTCAGGACCACCTCGCGCATGGCCAGCCCGGCTTGAACAGCGCCGACGAGATCGAGGACTCCCGGATCTCCTTGGTTAAAAATCATCCAGGCTGAAACATACAAAGAAGAACTGAGACACCTGAAGAATGGAAAGCCTCTGCCGACTCGAAGCTCCCTACTGAAGCTAAGTCCTTTTCTGGACAGTGAGGGACTCCTACGCGTCGGCGGGCGCCTTAAACACGCTGCACTGCAGTATGATGCCACGCATCCAACCATACTACCAAGCAGATCTAATTTTACTTGCCTCATCATCGACGACTACCACAAGCGGACGCTGCACGGCGGCACCCAGTTGACTTTGTGCTCTCTTCGCCAGGAGTATTGGGTCCCTCGAGGTCGCGCTCTAGTGAAGAGCCGCATCAGCCGGTGTCTAAGGTGCACCAGATGGCGGGCTGCCATCCCTCAGCCACTGATGGGGGACCTCCCGGCACCACGAGTTACTCCAGGCCGGCCGTTTCTGCATACCGGCGTAGACTACGCCGGACCGATTTGGATGCGAACAGCAGGGGGCCGCGGACTCAAGGCGACAAAAGGTTTTATTGTTGTCTTTATTTGTTTAGCTTCCCGAGCAGTCCACCTCGACGCGGCCTCGGACTACACCGCTGACGCCTTCCTTGCCGCCTTGCGTCGGTTCGTCGCCAGGCGAGGAGTCTGCCACTCGCTATATAGCGACTGCGGCACCAACTTCGTGGGTGCCGATAAGCAGCTTAGGCAACTATTCTCCGCCGCCAGTGCCGACGGACATCGCATCGCAACCTTCGCCGCCCAGGAAAGAATCCGGTGGCGGTTCAACCCGCCAGCTGCACCTAACTTCGGCGGTTTATGGGAAGCTGCCGTGAAAGCGATGAAGCACCACCTTCGGCGAGTCATCGGTGACGCCACCCTCACCTACGAGGAGATGACTACTCTCCTAGCCCAAATTGAGGCCTGCCTCAATTCCAGACCGCTGCAGCCGTTGTCTGACGATCCGGAGGATGTAGCCGCACTCACACCTGGTCACTTCCTGGTCGGCTCCGCTCTCTCGGCGATCCCCGAACCGTCGCTCGAACGAGAGCCGTCGGCACGTCTCTCACGGTGGCAGCTCCTGCAAAACATGAAGGACCATTTCTGGTCTCGGTGGGTCAGCGAATACTTACACACGCTGGCCCATCGGCCGAAATGGTCCCGAATTAATCAGGAGGCTCGCGTCGGTCTAATCTGCCTCGTGCGAAACGAAATAACACCACCAAGACGGTGGCCGCTTGCGCGCATTACACGACTGCATCCAGGTTCCGACGGTAACGTTCGCGTAGTCGACGTCCGCACCTCGACCACAAATTTGACGCGTCCCGTGAACAAGTTAGTCTTTCTGACCGACGGCTCCGAAGACTCACTCGAATCGCAATCACGCGTCGTCCGCGTTTAAAAAATTTACACTTTTCTCTATTCCATATTCACATTCATTTATTTTTTTTCACTAAATTTTCATTATTCTCCTCACAATTGTACTTTACACTCACAGTCACTTGCACATCGCCAGCATACGGTCTACGCGACGCTTAACCTATACGCGTCTATACTGACTCCCAGTATAAACAGCTGATCGATTCAGCATTCCGTTCTCTAAATCAATCGGAGCACGTGCGCTCCACGTGTCCGTCACGCACGAGCGCGTGAATAGGCTCGTGCCCCACTCTCGCGCTGAGAACACGATTGCAGGTATATTACTGCAAGGCGGGCGGAATGTTCGAGATTCGAACGGTAATAACCCGCGGACAAGAAAGCGTTAAAATATTCATGCATCTCGATCATGCCTCATGCAGCATGCATATAATTTATTAATTAATATCGTGGTCTAACATGCGTATTTTAAATTATATTTAAATTAGCGCTCGGCCGCGAGAGTATACGGATACTCCGCGCCTTCGAAAATAAGCGCTTAAAACAGTCTAAATTGTAAACACCGCTGTCGCGCGAGAGGAGAGAAAAACAAGTAAATAATTACAGTAAACGTTCCTTCGCCCTTAATATCACAATAGAACGACAGCAAATGTACTCGAATATTCTAGAATTACAAGGTGTATATAAGCCTCCTCTCTCGCGACCGCGGCGCTTTTTCCGATTGCTCATCGCGAATAAAGTGTGTTCATACGATAAAGATTGCTTGTCTTTGTCTAATTCATTACCGTTGCTTGCGGACACTTAGTAATTTACGACTCGGCTAATTCTCTCGGTAAATTCGGTGCGGTATATTAATTGTAATTTTTGTTAATAGTTTATATAAATATATTTTTTTTGTGAACGTTACGCGTGTGTCGAGTGTTGTGTCTATTTCTCGGTCTCGCTTCCGACCACGTCCTATCCATCTTTCCGTCGCGCACAAGCAGTTTCCTGGACGTTGGATGGGTCGGTATGGCCCGATACGTTGGCCCGCAAGATCCCCGGACCTTAATTCTCTTGATTTCTTTTTATGGGGATACTGTAAGGAATCAATATACAAAACGCTTCCCGAGAACGTCGACGACTTAGAAACCAGATTGCGATATGTAATTTGGAATATCGAAGAGGAAGTAATGGAGAACGTCCAATTAAATTTATTTAAACGCATGCGAGCTTGCATAAGGATGGATGGTGGTCATTTTGAGCACCTATTATAAATTAATCCGCTCTTTTCAGAGCGACCAAAGTCAATCCGCTCTTTTCAGAGCGACCAAAGTCAATCCGCTCTTTTCAGAGCGACCAATACATTTATACATGGAACATCTTGTTCGCAAAACATAATCATTTTTCTCACGTCTCGCTTAAAAAGAAAGGGCAAAACGGGCGGATAATGTTAAGTCATTAAAAAAAATGTATTATAACGTAAAAAATTATAATACGTTATAATATGCCTTTTTTAATAACATAATTATTATACGTTTTAATACATGTCTCGCGTCAATCACATGTTCGGCAACGCCGCGTGATTGTTATCGTCTAGACGTGTCGCGAAGCGTCGCGACGCGTTGCGTCATCCGTCGCCGCAGTCTGTTGTCGTGTCCTTGCCGCGTAAACAATTGTCGTCCGCATCGAGTAACGTGTGCCTTTTTACAAGTAATTTTTAATAATTAATCGGTACACTGAGAGAATTTTCTCTTAAAATTTACCCTAAAAGTTATGGTAATTGTGAGACAATACGGTATGAAAAGAATTTTATTAAAATTTCTCTGATTAATATTTATCACATTAAAAATAATATCTATCACAATAAAATATGAAATATGTGTGATTAATTTTACTAAACTGTATAGTAAAATTAATCAAACATATTTTATATTTTCTTGTGATACATATTATTATTTTTAATATAATAAATAGTAGAGAAATTCTAATAAAATTCTTTCCACATTGTTGAAGATTCGTTCTTCGGATCGAATCCTCGAGGACGATCGAATTTTCTAGAATGTTTTTTTGTTAAATTCCTTAGTGTTTACGCCAAGGAAACACGTGAAACCAACGTGTACACTCGCCGCTAATTGGCGTGTGTACATCGCCTGATTTTCTGATGGTCCAATCGAGGACCCCGATCGGCTGCCGCCCTACGCGAGCTCCGAAATTCGCGCAGCCCTCGAGTCAGTCCTCGAGAGAGCGAGCGCCGAGAAACATAAGTCTCGGTACGCGACGAACTTGTAGAAAGTGAATAAACTAATTTATAAGAGTTTTAACAAGGCTCTGTAATATAAATATAAATTTAACGTATAAGACGGGCAACAAGAGCCAAATCGCGGATGACAATGCGTTATCCTAACGAAACTAAATAATTTTCCGTTAGAATTAAATACCGGTGCACAAGGCACCAAATTTTACTTGGACACGGCCAAGATTTTAAAATATAAAATAATCTTATATTTGAGATTTAATTTCAATACCCCCTTTTTTTTTAACCCCCCTACGGAAATTAAATAAATGAATGCAAGAGAAACATATAGATCCGAAAATCGGGGATTCCCGATTCAGCGATTTTCGGATCTATATTTTTCTCTTGCATTCATTTATTTAATTTCCGTAGGGGGGTTAAAAAAAAAAAAAAAAAAAAAGGGGGGTATTGAAATTAAATCTCAAATATGAGATTATTTCATATTTAAAATCTTGGCCGTGTCCAAGTAAAATTTGGTGCCTTGTGCACCGGTATTTAATTCTAACGGAAAATTATTTAGTTTCGTTAGGATAACGCATTGTCATCCGCGATTTGGCTCTTGTTGCCCGTCTTATACGTTAAATTTATATTTATATTACAGAGCCTTGTTAAAACTCTTATATTGATACACGCTGGCTTAAAAATGCGTTTGTTTACCAACATTAATATATATAACAGAGAAAAGTATAGAATCGAAAGGATTTGAATAGCTCAGCTGGAAGAGCAGTCGCCCGGCAAGCGAAAGGTCTCGGGTTCGTTTCCCGATTCAGCGATTTTCGGATCTATATTTTTCTCTTGCATTCATTTATTTAATTTCCGTAGGGGGGTTAAAAAAAAAAGGGGGTATTGAAATTAAATCTCAAATATGAGATTATTTCATATTTTAAAATCTTGGCCGTGTCCAAGTAAAATTTGGTGCCTTGTGCACCGGTATTTAATTCTAACGGAAAATTATTTAGTTTCGTTAGGATAACGCATTGTCATCCGCGATTTGGCTCTTGTTGCCCGTCTTATACGTTAAACTAATTTAAACCGTTTCAAAACGCGTACAATCATTTGATCACGTTAACCCGGCATCCTACAACGTTAAATCTTATACATATAAAATGGTCCTTCGAGCCGGATTTTAAAAACCGATCGAGTGATAGTGAAATCGCGAAAAGAACGGGCTCCTTTGTTTCGTACCTTATTCGAACGATTGACAATTTCTGCCTCGTGTGCCTATATCGGGGCAGTAAAGTTAAAAACGCAGTGATCCGCGGCACGAGAAATCCGCTAATTACGCGTTCTCGTTTGGAGTAGAAAGACTCCGTGTGCGGGAGTGAGACCGCGCTACACAACAATTAGCCGTCGCGCGCGCTCCGAAACAGTCTCTCTCTCTCTCTCTCTCTCTCTCTCTCTCTCTTTCTCGTTCTCTCTCGAAGACGCGAAGAGCGAGAGAGACGGATCACCGTCGCGCGCGTTCCGAAGATTTCTCTCTCTCTCTCTCTCTCTCTCTCTCTCTCGCGCTCTCTCCAAGACGCGAAGAGCGAGAGAGACGGTATCACGCCGCGCGCTCCGAAGCTCTCTCTCTCGCTCTCTCTCTCTCTCTCTAGCTGCGGCTCTCTCGATCGCGCGCCTGCCGTCGCTCCGGCCTAAGCCGCGGCGCTCCGGCCACGTGACGGTCACGCACCCTCACGTATCCGGTGTACATCGAATTCTGCATTTGAGTAGTCAGAATTTCGTTGAAGTGTCACTTGCAGTGCAAGCGCCGCTATCACGCGCTTTGCAATTTTGCATTCGGACGGCAGTTAAGCGCCGTTCGAGATTAATGACTTCACGCGTACTCCGCTATCACGCACCAGTGATTTTCTTAATTGAGTGCGGTGAACATTCGCGAGTTATCCGCAAGCGCCGCAAGCACGCGCTTTGCGTTACGATAATCGCAGTGACTCTCAATGATTAATCGTGACTTATATTGATTAACAGTGACTCTCAGTGAGCGTGCGCCGCTATCACGCGCACCGCACCGGTGAATCTTAACCAGTGCATTTTTTTCTCACTGACTTTTGACTCTCGCAGACCACAGTGCAAACGACAGCGCACGCCGCTATCACGCGTACGCGTCGTGCATCTCTCTGTGACTCTCTCGACACAGATTAATAGACAGATCGCCAAAGGCCTGCCTAAAGAAGAGACCGCCATCTTCGTGCGATAGACTTTGCCCCTTACCGACACACTTTGCCCCTGGTTCGAATCCGTGCTAAATTTCGTAGACTTGAACCAAAAGACTTTGCCCCTGGTTCGAGTCCGTGCTAAATTTCGTAGACTCGACCAAAAGACTTTGCCCCTGGTGCAAGTCCAGGCTAAATTCGTTTGACATTACCAACAGACTTTGCTCCTGGTGCGAATCCAGGCTAATTGATCATGAGACCAATTTGAGAGATTTGGCCCCCGTTGTGTGTGTGTGTGTGTGTGTGTGTGAGAGAGAGAGAGAGAGAGAGAGAGAAAGAGAAAGAGAATATTTTACATATGCATATATATATATATATATATAAAATTTATTAAATATAAAAAATATATTTTTTACACATAAAATGTTTTTTTATTGAAATAATCACAATTTTAAATGTGATATAACACAGTGTTCAAAAATTTTTAATTAAATTTTATTAAAGAAAATTACTTGAAATTTTTTACATTAAGAATTTAAAGGCTCCTTATTCTCTTGTAGAAATTTATCACTATGCCAATTAATCACTTATTTCGAG